GCTTCTTGGTGCTGTGCTTTAACTCGCTGCGCCATTTTCAGCTTTTTAAGGTGAATCCAGATTGTCTCCATAATGGCTACACCAATTTACATTCCCATCAGCAGTGTAATAAAGTTTCTCTTTCTCTGCATCCTCCCAGTACTTGTTTTTGGGGGTCTTTTTAATACGAGCTGTTCTTAAAGGTGTTTTTTTGTTTGTTTGTTTTAAAGATTTACTTATTTATTTATACATACAAGAACTAGAGTATAAGCCAGAAGTGCAGTAGGTGAGAGAATTCACCAGAGACAGAGTGGGGAGCAGAACAGGCAGATGCACTGAAATATGCTGCTGAGGGGAGCAGCAGGTGGGTCAGGAGAGGTTTGCTACGCCATGTGGGTCACCTTCCTGGCAGAGATCGATCTCATACTGCAGTAGCTGCGGAGAGCTTCATAGTTGTGCTACAGGGGAAGGCCCACAGGTATGGTTTTAACCTGTAACTCTCTTATTGGGAATAATGATGAACATTTTTCCCTGTATCTATTGGACTTCTGGATATCTTTGATGAATTGTCTGTACAAATCTGCTGCCCAGTTATTAATTGGGTTCTTTTTCTATTGTTGTATTTTTTTTATATATATCTGAGATATTAGCCACTCATCAGTCTTTTTCTATTGTATATTTTTATATATCTGAGATATTAGCCACTCAACAGTTATGTATGTATAAATATTTTCTCCCATTCAGTAGGTTGTGTTTATAACCTACTTACATTTTTCTTTTGTTACATAAAGCTTTTCAATTTGCTGTAATCCCAATTATTTATTTTTGTTTTTATTTCCCTTGCCATAGGAGTTGAGTCTCCAGAGACATTTTTATCATTGATGTCTGGTACATATCACCGGTACTTTCTAATACTTATTTTATTGTTGCAGATCTTATAATTTAGTTCTTTAATCCATACAGAATTTTGGGGTGTGGAGTAGCGAGTGATCTAGTTTCATTCTTTTGCATGTGGCCTTCCAGTTTTCCTAGCACCATTCATTAAACAGTGCTAATACTTCCCTACTCTATGGTTGACTTTTTTTAGTCATCACATCAATTAAGTATTGGTATGTATATGGATTTATTTCTGGGCTTTTGATTCTATTCCATTGCAGCATTTGTTTGTTTTGATGCTGATACTTTATTGTTTTTAGTATTATTACTTTATAATATTGTTTAAAGTCTTAATGTAATACCTCCATTTCTCTCCTGTGTTCACATAATCATATTTGTTGTTTGAAGCATCCCTTATAAATTTCGATATTTTTTGTTCAGTTTTTTAAAAGGATATTATTGATATTTTGATGGGGATTGTGTTAAATTCGTATATCATCTTAGGTAGTATAGTCTTTTGATTATATTGATTCTCCTCATCTGTGAGCATGGGCTATCTTTCCTTTACTTATGCCACTCAGTCTCAAAGTTCTTGTCGATCCTTCAAAGGTCCTTCTCCTTTTTTGGTTAATTCTAGCCCCCTTTTTGGTTAATTCCAGCATTATTTTGTTCTCTTTGAAGTGATTGCAAATGGAACTTTTCCTTAATTTCTTTTTATTCTAGCTTGTTGTTTGTATACAAAAATACTGCAGATTTGTGAATGTTGACTTTGTAACCTGTCACTTTGCTGTATTCATCTACTTTTGTAATAGCTTTTTTGGTGGAGTCTTTAGAGTTTGCTATATATAATACATTGTCTGCAACTACTGATGGTTTCACCACTTCTTTTCTAATTTGAATTCCAGTTATTTCCTATTGTTACCTCTAATGTTAAATAGATTGTGATTTTGACAATCTATTTAATTGTGGACATCCTTATCTTGATTCTGACTTTTTTTTTTTTTTTAAGATTTATTTACTTATGCTTACAGAAATGGGGTACAGGCCAGAGGTGTGGTCGTTGAGAGTATTCACCTGAGACAGAGTGGGGAGCAGAACAGATATATTGACAAAGTACACTGCTGAGGGGAGCAGTGGACGGGTCAGAAGAGTTCTGCTGCTATGTGGGTCAGCTCCCTGGCCGGGGATGGAACTGGTGCAGCAGTGGCTTTCGAGAGCTTCATAATGCAGTGCTTTAACCCATTGCACCACCAGGGAGAGCCCTTGATTCTGATTTTAAAGGGGAACTTTTAGTTTTTCACCATTAAGTATTGCGTTGTCGGTTGGTTTGTAATATATGGCCTTTATTATATTGAAGTAGGTTCCTTCTATTTCCATCTTGTTCACTTTTCATCATAAGTGAGTGCTGAATCTTAGTAGATGCTTTCTCTGTATTATATAATGATACCGATATAATGTATTATATTGATTATTTATATTAAACTATCTCTGCATCCCAGGGATATATTCCATTTGATCATGATCTATAATCCTTGTATGATAAAGTGTAGAATTTGATTTATTAGTATTTTTGGAGATTTTCATATCACTGTTCTTCAGGGATATTGGTCTATAAATTTTTGTGCTGTCTGTATCTGATTTTGGAGTTAAGGTAGTTTTGGCATCATAAAATGCATCAGGAAGCATTCTCTCTCCTTGAATTTTTAGAAATAACTTGAATGGGATGGTTTGATGTAATTCATTTTTAAAGGCTTTTGGCCTTGAGCTTTTATTTGGGGGAAGATTTGTTATTGCTGTTTCAATTTCCATGGTTGTGATCAGCTTATTCAACTCTTCCTTTTCTTCCTTGTGTCGTCTTAGGAAACTATATTGACCTAGAAATTTTTTCTTCAAGGTTATCAAAGTTAATGGCATTTAATTGTTCATAGTAATTTCTAATGTTCCTTTGTATCTCTGTTTCTGTGGCAATGTCTCTTCTTTCATCTGTGAGTCTGTTTGTTAATGTTTTTTTCTCTTCTTTAAATTTTTGTTAACCTAGCTAGAGTTTTTCTGTTTTGCTATTTTGTTACTCTTCTTAAAGAATCAACTCTTGGTTTCATTATCTTTTATAGTCCTTTGGATTTTGTTTTTTTCTGCTCTTATTTTTATTCTTTTTCCATATAACTTTGGGTCTTGTTTATTCCTTGGAAGCAAATTTTGAACTCAGTTTCAAGAATTTGAATGTTTAACCACTTATCTGTGTTCCCTGTCACTAAGACCAAACAAAGACAAGTGTGGCTACTTTTGGAAGAGGGTATCTTTTAAAAGATAATAGCAGATACAAGATTTCACAATGTGACATCTTTCCAGTGACAGTAGCTTCATCCACCATCACCACCTTCATCACTCAAAAAATATAGCAGAAGTCACAGTGTGGGCTTGGATTTTCATTAGTCACTGAAGGTAACAAGATTTGTTTGGGATGTTGGAGGGAGATGCTAGGTGGTTAGGCCATTGCTCTGAAATTCACTTAGATTTCCTTAACAGTACCACCCCTTGAGCATGAAAGAAGTAAGAACTTATATTTCTTTTTGTATTTGTTGTTTGCATAAATTTGGAGAATCTCCAGGTCGGAATTTTATAGATAAGTTTTACAGATACCTAAATTATGTCTCAGTATTTCTTAAAGCTTGGCTAACCTTCCATAATGCCAGAAAATGTCCATTATTTGTTTAAGGTGAGGATGAATTAGAGCAGAAAGAACTTGAAACTCTCCAGTGTGGAATTAAGCAATTACTTAGTATCTTGACTAGGAATGAGTTCTGGCCCAAAGGCAGGGTGAGGTACTTTTTTTCATTTTTATTAATTAGTTTATTTATGTATCTATTTACACTACTTACTGTTCATTTTAAAACAATATTTATTCCACCCTCCCCCAGTTAACCTGTGCACATCATCACCACCACTGCCCCCCACATTACTCCCTCCCTCCAGTTACCCCTCCCTCCCCTTTAGATAGAAGGGGTGGATTCCAGGAGTCTAGGGCACCAAGTGCATTTGTTTGGCAGGTTTTCGAGCAGCAGGGTGCACCCACCTATGATGCAAAGGCAGATAGGACCTGCTGTTTGTTACTATCACCATTTTCTCTTATCAGGGACGGTGGTCTGAAGAGGGAGAAGGTGAAGGACACATTCAAAGAGGAGCAGCAGAAGCTGTACAGCAAGATGATTGTCGGGAACCATGAGGACAGGAGCCGGTCCTGAAGCCCGCGCCTTGTGCTGGCTGGAGCCTCCACCGAATGCTGAGCGGAGAGACCGCTGGAGCTGTCACCACCGTCATTGCTGCCACCCCCACTGCTGCATCCTTTCCAGACCCAGACTCTTCAGCTGCTCTGGATCCAGGACCCCAGCTCCTTCAGAGCCACCCAGGGCCCTGGGCTTGCTGACTGAAGTGAGCACTATTGGGTGTCACTGCCCAGGATGAGCGGCCTTCTTGTTCCTTTCACAATAAGTCCGCTGGAGGAATGCCATTAAAGTCGGCGCCACCTGTGTGGGCTGAGTGGTTGGGACACATCAGCCACGTTTCCACATTTGGTTGTTAGGCGGTTAATCTGTTATGGATGGCCACCTGCCAAGGACTTGGCTGGGCCAGGGTCCACCCCTCGGGAGAGAGGCACTGCCGAGGCGGGTGGTTTGCTGCTTTAGCCTGAACATCAACCCAACAGAAAATGGTCATCTTCAGGGGCTTTCGGCAGAATGAAGTTTCCAGTTTTTGTGCTGCTACCCACAGGCTGTGCCCAAGGCAGAGTGGACCTGCAGCTCATGTGGTGGAAACCCAGAGTTGTTCCTCATTGATTCCAGTGCTATTCCTGAACTCCCATGTGACTTGCTCTTTGTTAACACGTGCCTCAGTTTCCCCATCTGTAACCTGGATCAGGAGGGGGACGGGTGGTGAAACCTACCTCACAGGGTTGTTGTGGGGATTAAGTGCTACTATGAGTGAAGGATAAGTAAAGCTCAGTGTTACAAGTATAGGCTTATGAAATGTGGCAGGATAAGGTCTGAGGTCAGCACTGCCGCACAGGGCTTTGGATTTGTTTTGTGAGTAAATAAAATTGTCTTTGATGGTGAATGAGTTGAGGGCTTTTCCCCTTCATTCTTTCTCCCCTGGATGTAACTCTAAGCAAGATGTTTCTTAGCAACGTTGTAATTCCCCACCTTGCACATTATCCTTGGCCTCGAAGGAATCTACTTGACTTCTGGAATGAGGAATAGTATTGCTCAGAAGCAGGTAAACTACTCGGACCAGATGCTTGCATATCCCTGTGGTTGATTCAGAACCTACGGTACACTGGGTGCGGGGATGCTCTGTGCCGGGTGACATGGAGATGAGAGGTATTTGGTGGGGAACTTATTTTGAGGTGGGAGAAGATGGTCCTCTGGACATGAAGACGGTGGGAAGCAATAAGGAATATGGGAGTGAGGCAAGAGCAGACTCCTACCCAGCCTGCGTGGGGGATGAGACTGTGGGTATTTGGTATACCGTGGGCATCTGCTTTGGGCTTCCACAGAAGCAGAAGGAGGCCTTGTGGGCCTCCTTTGTCCACCAACAGTCACTGTGGCAGCAAGTCAGCCTCCGCAGTTCTTGTTTTTGGAATCAACAGAATTAACTCGCCCTGCCGATTCCCCACCCGTCTGCCCCTCCACTTGCCCTCTTCTTCCAGCATAGCGCGGTCTTAACACCTGTCAGGGTTTTACGCAGCCATGGTAAATGACAGGTTTCCAAGGCCGCCCTCACCTGCATCTTGGGGGCGTAGGAGCGAAGGCCTGCCCTTGTACCCCTTCACCTGTGGCACTTTGTCTTACCTAACCCTTAGTCTAATTCCCCACAACTGCCCTCCTGTTCCATCCCCTCCTTAAGAGCCTCCAACTTCCTCTTTTCTGCCATTGTTAACCCATGAGAAATTTTTTCTCCTAAAACCTCTATTATTAAACTTTAAAGGGCAACCTTCTATAAACTTAAAAATGTTTAAAGAGTGGCTTTCAGCCTTCAATGGAGGTGATAGATTTAAAGTATTCAAGGGACATCTGGAGAATTCTTTAAAAACTGATCTTGAAGATCAAGTTCCCCTTTTGTCTTCTCTTAAAAAACTTTGTTTATGATGTTTATTTCATGATTTTCATAGCTATTTTTAAGTATTTTGGTTTTCTCACATTCTTTTCAACAGGCCTGTCTGCTGCTGACAGCAGAATATTGCAAGAACCTGGTTTAGGAGCACTGCTGTGTAAAGAAGTGGGTGTGAAAATTAAATGATGGCCTTCCCCTACTCTAAAGTGAGGCAAAGGGAGTGAATTACACCCTCCCAAAAAGAAGTCTCAAGTTGTTTCCTCGGTGCCTGTTATCAGAATGAAGACTTAATGAAACTGATTCTTTTTACTGGGGTCCCTTATAGTCTCAAGCTACCTGTTAGAATATTTGGGTTAGGATAATTGAATTGGGACAAATTGAGTTGTTCTCGTATGGTCCAACATCAAAGCACTAGGGCTAAGGACAAGTGTGGACAGTACAAGAGAACACCTGCTTCTGTAGTCCAGCCTGGTGGGGAGCAAAGCCAGGTGGCACGTGGGGAGTGAGCACTGGCCCGCTCCCGATCCCATCTCCAACCTGCTACTCATTTGCTGTTTGGCTTTATTTTTCTGTCTTTTTCCTGATCCATAACAAAGGACTTGGGCTTGATGATCTCTAAGGCCCGTTTTGGAATTTCTGTAATTTTAGAACCCATTATTCAAACTTTGGCTTTAGGCTGTAAAGTCACCTGGCTTAAGAAAGAAGCCAGTTTGAATCCATTTCCTTCCTGAAAAACACTGAACCTAAAGAGACTGCGCTTTAGGGTGTCCCACATACAAGGGAGCGTCCCCATGTTTGTGTGTGTGGGGTTTTGATGTGGATCTTGGGGAGTACTCACCCCATTCCAGCTCCCTAACTAATTGGAACTTTCTTAAGTCTAATAAAATTCTCCCGAAAAAGGAAACTCACTAAAAGACTGCTAACCAGGTCAGCGCAGCAAGATAAGCTCGGTGGAGTAGTCTGGGATGACATACTTGTGATTTAGTGGAACCAACTTTGGAACTTGATTCTTCACTCTGTCAGGTGATTGCCTTGATGGGAGGTGAACAGAGAGCTTCACAGAGCCTTGAATGCCCAGACTAGACAGGGAAAGTCTGGGCACCATCCTGCTTCAGCCTTTAATGGCAGAGCCCTTGCGGTGGTGGGCACTGACTCTCTTCTGGGTCCAGTGGGAGTCTTCTGGGTCCAGAAATCCCGCCCATTTCTTCCTGGAATTGACCAAACACTGAGTGATCTGGGGGGTCGTGCTTCCCACAGTGGCCTGATGCATGAGTGTTTCACTGTGTCGGGAGGTCCTCTCCACCTGCTGTGCCTCTTGGGTGGCCAGACTCGATTTCTCCAGTCGCGCCCGCCCTGTGTGTCCTGGGACACCCGGGCTGGAAGGGCAGCCTGCACGCACACTGACTCTTGGACAGGTTAAGAGACGACCATCCAGCCATCCATCTTCCATTGCACCAACACCCCCACTCCCCTCAGTCAATATGTCTCTCTCCGATGGGAAAGTTAATAAATTTTGCTCTAGATTAAAAGTATTGATCATTTCATTTGTAAACGATAAATAAAAAGGGGGAACTTTTCATTGCACCAGGGGTAGCGTCTGGTGTATTTTGCTGGGGAAATTGTGCTGGCTGTCGGGGGGGTGGGCTTCTCATATGCATTCCGGCCGGCCAGCTGCATTGATTTCCTATTAGTCTCCCAGCACCACCCAGTAACACATCATTTCAGTACCTGCTATTAATGGTCTTTTGATAAATAATCACTTGTAAGTCAATAAATTTTTATTAAACAGTGTGGCTCTTTGATTTATTAAAATCCGACCGTGTTTGTCTGGGAGAAAAGGGATGCTGAATTGAAGTGGAGGTTTTCATACATCTTCCTGACGCTGAGCAGTCACTGCACACTCCAGAGAAAAACAATTGCATTTTAACAGAAACAAAACAGCCGAGTTTGGAACTTGGGCCCAGGGAAACTTTATCTCCGTCAGTCTGAGGCTTACTCTACAGGGAGCAACTGCAGGGCCTGAGGGCGCCGTGTCAAGAACTTTGTGCTTGCTGCTGAGATGAGCGGTGAGGTACCCGGCCAGCCCCCTGGGTAGGGCATTGTGGGTAGCCTGGTCTTTGCCTCTCTGTAGACTGGCCCACTGCTCGGCCCTCCCCCAGCTGAGAGGCGCACCCTGGAGCAGACACCCTTGGCAAACATTTGGGAGAATGAGAAAGTGGGACTGTGGGGCCTTCAGGTCACATCTGGTGGCAGGAATGTCAAGAGATGGTGCAGATGTGGAGATCTGACTGGATTATTTTAAAAACTGGGCCAATAGCTGAAGATTGGACATTTTTTTGTGAAATTATCACTGCCATAGAATTTGTTGTAATTGGACCCTTTTCATTGGGATTAATACAGCCCCAAAGATGTATATAGAATGGCCCAACCACTAATTATAGAACCAGAATTCCCAGCCCAGAGGAAAGTTACGGGAAAGGGGAAAAGTCCAGCTTGCCAAATGTTTTTATTCAAACTAATGAGTGGAGCTCCAGGACACTCTCCTTGTGCCAGGAAGCCGCGACTTCCTCGCTGCTCGTATTTAGTGCGATTGGTTAACGGATTTTAGGGAGGGGGTGCCGCTGAGTTCAGCAGGGGGCTTTAATGTTTTGAAATATTTTATGTTGTTAAAATATTTAAATCACATTTTATAGTGTTTTCAAGTGTTAGTGTTTCAAGCTTGCTGCAGGTTTATTTTTTGTTGCTTGGAGTTCTTTTTCTCTCCTGTTTTCGGGGATGAAAGCTTTTGCCCCAAGGACCTTGAAGTTGAACAGTTTGCTGGAGAACAGGAAACAAACGTGATGTTCAGCTGAGCAGGTGAGTATGAACAGAGGTTGTCAAGAGCATGACCTTTCTGCCCCGTGTGCACGAAGTTGCTCAAAGGTCCTGGCCTCCCCTTGCAGGAGCTGAAGATTGTATGGAAGGCAGGAACCTACCCTCACCCCCACCCTATTATGATTATGTAATGCTGTACTCAGGCAGAGAAGCCACAGGACTGTATGTGTACAGTTTTCTAGAACATGATAACATTAAAATTATTTGCATTTTATATGTGTAAAATTCAAGCCCAGTTTCAAGTAAAATAGGTTTGTGCAATATTTCACAAACTTCACATCATTCCACTGTGTTAGGACTTGGAGGTAGTGGGAAAGTGCCTGGCAGCTGGCGAAGATCATCTTGGGGTTTTCTACATGCTGACACTTTACTTCTGGTGATTTGAGTCAAAATACATGAAACGATGGAGGAGTCTTGCTGGGCAGCTGCCATTTCAGCTTCTGGGAGTGGACAAGGAGTGTGACGTTAGCACAAAGGAGCTACAGGGCCATTTGGGCTGTCCCCAGCAGGTACCTGCACTGCCTGTAGGGTAGCTAGGCAGCCAGAGCCAGGCAGGCAATGCACCTGGGAGGCTCTGTATCTGGGGAATAGAGCCCGAAGCTCCCAGAAAGATGATCGGTAGCCCTCGAGAACTGTGACAGTACACTTCCTTTTCTTGACCTGATGACTCCCCAAATGCAGCTTGATTGTATTGGAAGCCTCCACATGGATGAACTCTGGCTGGACGTGAAGTCAGAAGAAGGTTAGACGATGCCTTCCCACGCGACCCCATCCAGGGTTCCAACCAGGCTCAGAGGGCCCCTTACGCCCTCCTGCCCTCTTCAACGTAGACAGACTGTTTCTTCCTGGCAGGGCACTAGGGGGAAGTGGCCAGACTTGGAGGTCCCTGGTCCCTGCTCTGCTGCTGCAGTGGGCCAGGGAAGGACTCTTGCACTCAGATTGATCCACCAGCTGTGATTTGTCATCTCTCCGAGGCAGGCGCTGTTTTCTCTTGCTTCAGGAGGCCCCTTCGACACCTGCTTTATTTTTCTTCCTGCGCTGACGTGACGGGAGACAGGTGTTAAACTACTTAATCACTTTAAAATTGTTTTAATTTTCTGTTTTTTATTGATCTCTCTAGCACCAATTAATCAGCTCACTGGACCAGGCAGTTAGTACATTAAAAATTGTCAGGGAGGCCGTGCATCTTGCAAAATGTCTAAAAAATATTCGGCTAGCAAATTTCGTTTTTCTTTGGCATGCAACAGTGCTTGGCCCACAGAACTTCCACTCAAAAAGAGCTTCTGCCTCTGGGACTCACAGCTAGGAGCACCGTAGGGACAGCAAAGTCTTTGGCCAGAGGGGCTTCCTGAGGTCAGAACGGGAATAGGTACCCTTCTCAGCATGGATTAGCCACGCTTCCTTACACTTTATTCTCTGCTTCCTGCACCTTGGGTCTCCTTTCTACAAAAGCACTGGGAATATCTGTGGAAAGATGAGCTTGCTCCAGATCATGTGTCCTGACCCCCACAAGGACAGGACTTTACGGTCTGAAACTGTCCTCGCCACCAGGCACCAAGCCCACAGCCAGATTTCCTCTCCCTGGGATATTGGCACTTCTGACTTGTCCTTCTGATGACACCAAAGCCGCCGCCCCAGGGCAGGGGGCTGGCTGAACTCAGCAAACTGTTGGCAGGTGACTGTGTCACACTGCCTAATCCCTGGCGCCTCTGTGACAATCCTTCCATGGAATGTTCTAGACAATCCTTCCCCCATAGTTACCAGGTCCTGTTGCTGCAAACCCTTGCCATTTGTCTTTTATCACCCCTTGTGAAATTATTTGTTAACTGGCTATACCATCTGAACTAAAAAGACCATGGACGGAATAACCAGGGGCTTCCAATATCATTTCTTATGGCTAAAAATGTCCAGCTTTCCCATTTTTACCTGTTTTTCTGTTTCATTTTTCTGAGGCTAATTACATGTCAAGCCGCCTGCCTGCATGGTCTGGGCAGCTGTGCCTTCCTGCTGGGTACCATCTCCCAAAGCATCTCTGGCTTTGCCCTTCTTTCCTTTCAGAGCTGCTAACCTAACTGAGGGGAACTGTTTTTATTCTCTTCCCTCTCACTTCTCCTCTACACAGCACCTCCTCTCCCAGACTCTGGGCACAGTTCTGTAGGATCAGGACTGCAAAAGTCTGGGATGTGAGCCCCCATTGTGAGGAAGAAGGGCTGGGGGGCATTCAGCCTGCTTGCTGGCACCAGGGCTTATCTGCTCTCCGCACCCAGTCCCACCCACGCTGTATTAATTGGTATATGATTGGGCCAGGACATATAATCTAGTATTGATTTCCTCTCTGGACGCCACAGCTTTATTTGCTCACATCTGCCTTGTGTTTAATTGGTGCTTTGCTCTGGAAACGGGAGGTCTTATCAGCCAGTTTGATTTCTTTTCCTGGGCACACAGGCACGCACACACCCTAACACACTCAAAGTGGCCAGCCCAGCCCAGCCTCTCCCTGACCCTCCCACAGTGAGGCATTCCGAAGGGGCTGGGGGAGTGGACTGACCAGAAGTGTTTTTTCAGCGGTCCTGTGTTTACACTTGACCTCTCATGCTGTGGTCATCAGGTCAGGAAGAATCACTTCTTGGTGCGGAAGGGCATGTGTGATGATTATGGGGGGAAACACGGCTTATGCGTCTATGCAGCAGACCTGAGCTCGAATCCACGTCCCCCTGGGTATGGCTAACTTACTGAATTTTTTTTAGCACTGTGGCATCTTGATCTGAGAAGCAGAATGCCTTTTTTTGTAGGATTTTAAGGACCACTTGTCGGTCACCACACAGAATGCCTGGCTCAGTAAACATGGTTCTTTGAATAGTTAACATTTCCCCACCCTGCCTTACAGCTCCCTGCAGGTGTGCTGGGCATCAGTGCCCATGGCTACGTGCATGGGAGAGGGGAACTGGTCACCTCCGAGTATCCGCGATGGCGGGTGGGTCGCATGTCTCCCTTTGTCCACAGTCCCGTAACCCTGACCCAGGCTCAGTTGTCGTCTCTGGCCTCATCCCTTCCACACCCAGGAGCTTGCTCTCAGCAGAATGTCTGTTGCCAACTGGTCCCCACAACCCCACACGTGGTGGGGACCAGGGGAGGCATGGCATTTTTCTTTTTTTTCTCCCCTCTGTGTCCCTGCATCTGGGCTGGTCTGCCCTGGCCTTTTTGTAGGAAGGGAAAGATGTCAAGACCAGAGGTAAACACGAATTTCCTATTGACATAACATTAATTCTCCTGCTTGGACAGGTGAATGTGCTTTCACTCACTTTACCAAGATTAATGGTATTTGTTTGCCTGCTAAGAGAGGCCTAATGAGGGGCTTTTGAATGCGTGCCTGCTGGGCTGACTATAGGGAAGAGGTGGGCAAACTGCTGGACAAGGAAAAAAGCCTCCCCTGCCTCTTCCTGCATTGTCACGTGTGTCTCTTCGGGTACAGGGGCCTTCCCCTGGGACAAGCAGACTCAAAGAATTTTTGGCTAAAGGATATGAGCCATGCGGTCCCGTGCATGGGTTGTTACTGTCAAGGAGACCTCCACAGTCTCCTGGGGTCTGGAGTCAGCCACCCTCTCCCCTGCCTATGCCTGACACTCTCCTCCTACCTGTGTTCCCTAGGTCCTACCTCCTACTTTTACCCCAAGTCTGTGGCCAAGAAAGGATAAGCTTTGGTTCAATTCTCTAAGGGGGACAACAGTATTGGAGGGAATGGAGCAGGGTTTGGGGGGAGAGGACAGAGGCAGCGGAGGGAGCTTCAGGACAAGCAAGGATGCTTGTGACCTTAGGGCAAGCTCCCCAGGCACCTGCCTGGATGTAACAAGGGTGGAGGGGGCAGCTGCTACTTTGTGGTTGTAGTTTCAGCACAGTGGAAACCCAGGAAA